AGAGTACAAAAAAATGGAAAGTGAGATATTTGGGTATTTAAAAGAAGGTAACGAGCTGGACTTTGTGTTGACAGTAGGAAGCACGCCTGCTGCGTACTCGCAGTAAGCCGTTCTTCACAGACAGAACAGTGATTCTCCTTCAAGCAGGAAGTCTGTGCAGCTGCTGCAACGACGTTTGGCTTTAAGATTTTGTTGCTCAGGACCAAACTAACGACAACTTCTCCAAAAGGAAAACGAATTACAGATTTAGATGGCGAAATGAGCTTCAGTATACTCTTGCTGTTTTAAAGAAAGAACAATAGTGGATGCAAGTTATGATTCATAAGATCTGTCCACAGCAATGGGAGTCGCAGCCTGACGGTAGCACTGGTGGCACCCTGATTAGTTTCTCTTTTTTTTTTTTTTTTATGTATTTATTTATGCAAGTTTCAAAATTTTTACACATTCACAGACAGCGGGACAGAGGAACACAGACAATAATGACAATAACAACAAAAAAAAATCAAAAACCAAACACAGGAACAAACAAACAAATAAAAAAAAAACAGCAACAAACCCCACAACAGGGTACACGGCCAGCACTTATTAAGAACAGCAGAGAGAGAAAAAAAAGCAACTGGTATACATGTCAAACAACTCACAATCCAGTGAGTCCAATCCACAAGATCAAATTCACAAGATCACTAGGAGGAGCTGATAACAATCATGCAATAACAGTTATGGGCAACAGCTCAGAATGAAAGCAGTTAAAACAACGTGGTCAGGACCCAGGGCGTGAACTGTCCTTCTTAGTGTGGTCTATAAAGGGCCCCCATATCTTCCTGAACTTCTCCATGGAATCAGACGTAGAGAACTGAATTTCTTCCAGGTATAAACAGGAGACCATCTCCTCGAGCCACCTCTTGAAGCAGGGAGGGGAGGCAGATTTCCACTCCCCCAGAATCAGACGTTTGGCAATCACCATACCAAACATGAGGGCCTGTTGAATAGCATAGGGGAAGTGCCAAGGAGTCACTGGAGCAGCCCAGGATCACCATAAGACAGTCAGGATACAGTTGCCTATCGTAAACAATGCTATAGAAACTAAAAATACTAGTACCCTGATTAGTTTAACCTCAGTTTACTGACTAACGATTCAAAGCTGAGAGATGTTTGCTGGTTTTGCTTTTATTTATTCTGCTGCTGTTCTATAGAAATGTCACATTCAATGTGCATCATCACACAGAGTATCATTAATGTGTCTGCAGGTGTGGACACATATTGTGGGATTGGACAAGAGCGGGCAGTAATGATCAGAACACTTTAAAAAGTCTGCACTCAGGTCCACACATGCACATAAAGTGTTGGTATGGTTGGCTGAATGAGACATGCTGTACAAAGAAAAGCATGAGCATGTATCAGACCTCCTACCAATAAATGTAATGATGTGCAGTCAGTAGCTCTGTTGTATGTGCTGTGAGCTCAGTGAGGACCTGAGTGGCTCCACTCTCCAAACACTGCACCGTACTTTACTACATTATGGTACCATAGCCTGTTGGTTATAATCTCACTGATATTTTGGGGGATACATGATGATGTAATCCACAAACCCTCGACTGACCCATCTCTGTTTGTCCTCTAGGTGTCAACATCAACTTGACCTTTGATGAAGGACTCAGCGCAATCCTCAGTGAGCAGGGAACCAGTACGTTTCTGACCGAACGCTGACAGCCAACGTTCGGCTTTTTGTGGAGTTCTGTGAATGAAAAATCTTCAGCTTGTTTATAATAATCAGTGTTTTGTGTTGACAGGTGACGAGGGCAGCGTCCTTCATGTGCGATCCAGTGAAGCCCAGTGAGTGCACTTCTTTCCTTGCTGTTAGTTTAACTCAGTGCTGGTTCTGCTGGTTCAGTGCCTGAGCACTACACCACAGAGTGGGTGACACTTAATGACCATGACACACACACACACACACACATTCCAGCATCACACTGGGACAGCAACAGCAGTGAAGACGAGAGCGAGGCAGTAACAAAGTTATTACTTTGGAAACTCGTCTGTTTCACTGTTTTTTAATAATTTCACAAACTAAAACGACCAAAGTTACAGAAACATGGAAACTCCAGAAGACCTGAGTCACACATTGTTGGGTTTGTAGGCCTGCTAGCTTTGTCACATTATTGCACACACACTACAGATCTGTGCACGGTACGTGTGACCTGTTTAAACTCAGCTCTGTTGTTTGTTCAGAGCTCCTGGACCGAGGCAGTGGAACGTGCAGTCTCCTCTGCGTCTGAGGAAGAGGCTGTAGTGGATGCGTCACTCAGTTTGTGTGTATGTGTGGGTTGTCTTTATCTAAAACAATATCCTGTTTGTCACTTTGAGGATTTTTCACTCTTTGTTTAGCTGATGTATTGATGTACAATATGAAATAAAAGTTCAACATGTGGTGTTTCACTGAGAGGTTCTATCATTCATTTCTATTGTCTTTGATGAAATGGACCAGAATAGCCCTTCATTGTCGTTGGCATGTATAATTGTGGGCACTCCACAGCAGCTGTGCAGGAATAAAATACACACAGTAAGACAGCAGGAATAAATAACAGACATACAAACCGATAGAAAACGTGCCACAGGGACAAACAACATCGTTTCCAAACAGAATGTGGATCTTCTGTCGTCTCGCTGACCACCGACAGCGTTTCAGATTTAATCATACATTAAGGGCTGCTGTTCAAGAGGCGGAGCCTCTCAGCCATCATCAGTTCGATGCCAGCATTACAGTACAAGTTCATCCTGCTTATGACCATCGGCTGTTATCTCTCAAGTTATGAAGTCATAAAAAGAGATGTACATGCATAAGTACACAGTGCAACATATGATGCACTATATACATCTAACCACAGGAACATCACTGGTGTTATAAGAGACAGAAACGTAATGAAAATGCTGTGTGAGGCCTTGTAGTCACAGCTTTCCCACTTTTTAAATCCTGGAGTGGCAGCTTGGTGGTGGTCAGCACTGTTACCTCACAGCACCAAGGCCCAGCGTCAAAGACATGACCTTTGCTCTTTACATGAATTGAAAGGGTTTCCACGGTAATGAATGGGTTTCTATTAGCATTAAGAACTTTTGTTGGACTGATGTAATTTGCATAGGTTGGCTCGACGACGTTAAGTAAAATGATTCATCATTAATGAAGTTGG